AAAAAAAAAAAAAAAAAAAAAAAAGTGAAAATAACAAGTTAATTATTATATGGTGTGAATCATACCGCAGGCAGGGCATCGGAAATAGTACTTGTCATCCCTCAATACAAGCCCCGACCCATTACACACCTTACACTTCTTTTGTTCAATCTGACCAATAATCCAATATATATATATATATATTAGCAAATTTGAGGAGTAAAATATTTAATTTAACATTTTTTCGTAGAGTAAATTTCAATTTTAGTCCTGTATTCACTACTTTAGTTTTTTCGTCCTATTCAAATTGTGTTTTTTATTTTCGTCTCGTATGTTTGCAAAAAGGTCATTTTTATACATAAGAGACGAAATTGGAACAATTTTTTTTTTTGGCAAAATTGTAATTTTAGTCTCGTTGATTTGATTCAGTCGTGTTTTTAGTACTAAGAAATTGAACATTTTTGCTATTTGGTCCTATGGTTTTAAAATTCAATGCAATTTCAGTCATTTGGGACTGAAAATGCAACAGAATTTAAAATTATAGAACTTAAATTGTTAAATAAAAAATCTTTTAGATGGATTTTTTATTAATAATTTAGTCCAGCAGGACTAAAATTATAGAACTTAAATTGTTAATAAAAAAATCTTTTAGATGAATTTTTTATTAACAATTTAATTAGTCCAGCAGGACTAAAATTATAGAACTTAAATTACTAAATTACAGGATTAAAATTTCAAAGACAAAAAGTTGAAAGCTTGGTACTAAAAATGCTACAACGTTAAACCAACAAGACTAAAAATACAATTTTTTTTTTTCAAAACATAAAAGGACCTTTCTGTTTGCAAACATATGAGACGAAAATAAAAAATGCGATTGGAAAAAGGAAGAAAAAGTTAGAAAAAAAAGTTAGGGTAGTGAAATTTTTCGGATTAAAATTACAATTCACTCTTTTTGGTAGGCCAAAATTAAGCAAGCAACGCACAATTCTCTTGCTGAACTCAATTCCAGCCACCACAAAAGGAGACACCCCCGCTACAACAACATCAAAAAAATAAAAAAAATAAAAAAAATAAAAATAATAATAATAATAATAAAAAACTTGTGATTATTTAACTAATAATTTGATAAATTTCAAATGACGTATTTGAATAAATTAAAACGAGAGATAGGTACGTACGTACGTACGTACCAAGAGCGCCGAGCACGATTTGCCAAGTGATTTGTGGCTGAGATGAAGTAATGGCCGCCGAGATGTCGTCCACCGCACGAACCGCAGCTCGTGAACCTGATCGGAGTTTGAGGCTTACCTGTGGTTTACATAAAGCGCTTGGATTTGATCCATAATAAGGACGGGTGAATGAAGTACAGTTAATACTTTTGAGAGATGACGAGTTTAGTGGTGCAGATTGCATTTTTCTTTCAGGTATTGATTGATGAATAAACAACAACAACGAGGAGACGACGACCACAACAACAACAACGACAACAATAACAACAATAATAATAATAATAATAGAAAGTGAGTTTTGAATTTTGCCAGTATAATATAATTTGGATGACGAATTGGAGCCATACAAATTACAACAGGGACTTTCGTATTTATTTATTTATTTATTTATTTATTATTATCGTGTGTGTATTTGTGGTTGTGCACGTCGTTTTCTTTGTTCGGCTTTGCTACAGTACGAATTAATTTTCTTTTTTTTTTCGAAACGAACGAATTAATTTTCTTCAAAATCAAGGCTTCATTTGCATAAATTTAATTAATTTATTTATTTTTTTTATCTATTTTGTTAACAAAAAAATGTGTCCCAACTCCCAAGTTTATGGCTTCGAAAAAAAAAAAATGCCTCTCCTAATCAATATATATTCAATTGATGAACTATTCCCACTTATTTTTTTATTTTTTTTTTCATTTTACTAGCAAAACAATTAATAAAAATATTTTTATTTCCCTCCATAAGACGCTACAACTTATATTATTATTCATTTATCTATATATATATATAGGGATGCAAATTAATTACATTTTCCCCCTATTTTTTCATTTAGTTTTGGAAACTGCCCATTATTTTTATATTAATAAATTGCAATAATATTTTTTTTATTTATTTATCACATAATATTTACTACTAATATTAAGCAATTATAATTTTAGTCTGAAATTTAAAAACCTTATAGCAAATTTTTTTCTTCACTTTTTTTCATTTTAAATTTCACATCATCGTTTTATTTTTATCTCATTAAACAATTTTTTTGATAGCTAATTGGTTTATTGAATAAAAGATCCTTTAAAATTTTAAAATAATTTTAACAATCATTATTTAAATTTTTTTTTAGCCAACTAATTAATGTGGATTCATTAATTATGTATGTACATTATTCATTATATATGTGCATGTGCATATACATTATTCATATTATGTAAGTACATTTTTCAGCCACATAAATTTTTTGTAACCAATTTGTCCTTTACTTCTTTTGAATTAACGATATAAGGGCAAGTTTCCAGATTATCGATTTGCAACGTTGTTATATAAATTTTTTTGACAAATGTCAAATAAATTAAATTGATTGCGAATCATGTCGAAAAAATGTTAATTTTACAACTATGAAATTAATAAATTGTCTATGCACAATGTAGCCTAACTACATTACTATCCACTTACCAAATATTAAAATTTTAATAAGTAAAAAAATTAATTAAATAATTAGATAGCTTGAAATTGATAAGAATAATTTATCCATCTTCTCATCTTTGGCTAGCTAGAGTAAAAAAGAATGTGAATGAACCTCATTCTTCTCTACATTGTTGACATTAATCATACCACATCACCACATCACCACAACATTTGTGATTACATCGTACAGTACATCGGAGAATGAAAAGTTATGGCATTACTAAATGTGTTGATATAAAATGTAATTTAACATACCAACATTTAAGCATCGGAGATGCTCCTAGGAAACATTGAAAAACAGAGTAAAAATTCTATTAATGGGAAGGAAAAAGAAAAAAGAAAAAAGAAAATGAAAGAGGGAAACAAAAATGTTGCTGATTAGAAGAGAAGTAAAGGAAATAAGGAAAAGAAAATGGAAAGTCGCGAAAAAGAGATCTATCGATACTAATCTCACAATTTTGCTATAAAACCAACAGTCGACTCCATTCTATATACGACATAAACCATACCACATTCTCAAATCAAATTTAATCCATTCAAACACAAATTATAATTTAGTCCGATCGTATTCCAACAAACACGGTAGCCCGAACTATATTACTATCCCTACAGGAGTTGAACCATTACTTTAAACTGGAGCACATAAATGTGTTCATTTTTTAATTCACTAGAGAAACATTTGTGACCAAAACGAAATTTATTAAGTAATGCTTTAATTTGAATATAGAAACACGATGAGAAAAGTGAAAACAAAAAATCAGTTATGGGGAAGAGGAAGACCATCCAATTATCTTGTTTTAGGAAAATGCTACAATCCCGGAATAATTCCATGACAATAATAGTATATCTAATGGCTAAAGAACCCTCACAAAATCATTCCGTGACGGGGTTGTAGCCTTTTCCCTTGTTTTATTTGGATATCTTCTCTTTCACCACCTTCCTCCCTTCTCACATATATATGCAAATTACTCTGTCAGGCTAAGGCACTAACCACATTTGGATTCACATGATGAAAATCATGCCATTACATATACACAGACGCACAAACAAACTCATACAGCACACGAGCATAATAGGTTAGTAGCAAGCAGCTATGAGAAGAGAACGACCCATTATTGGCCATTGCTTTCTTTTTTAGTTTGGTCTTGAAAATGGGCAACACTGTGAATCAACCTGAGTTTTTTCACTTTTGATTCAAATGCAACCTTCAGAAGAACTAAAAATAAATATGCCCAACATCAAAAGGACTTCAGTTTTACTAGACCGAGAGAAGTACATTCCGGTTAGTTCAGTAGTTATCAAAATCTGCCTAGGGGCAAAAGGACAGTGGATATGGAAAAAGTCCTTATATGCTCTATCGATTCTGTAAGTTGTTTCAAAGACATAGCACGATATTTTGGCACAATCTTCTGGAAGTTAAAATGTCAAACGTGTAATGCATAAAGAAACTAGCTTCAAATATAATTTGTTCCGACTTCGGATCAACGAGCTATTCATGCATTAAGCAACCAAAGATAATCCAAACACACTGATGATGATAAATGATAAATATATTACCTAAAGAAGTTCTGTACCATATCATCAATATATCCATCGGTACGTGAGGATAGAATATTGATCAATTTCTTAAATATCGTCACCACACAATCATCCACTATATAATTAACGACACCACCAACACTCCACTGAAAAAACACTTGAGTAACTAGTTAATCCTGACGCCATAACAAAGAAAGCTCAGCAATCAACTGGAAGCATTTTTTACGGAGATGAAACACGATAACTGAAGTAATGGCAGAGTGAATTCTATCTAATGCAATCATGCTCATGAATATTACCTTACATGGAAACATCTGTCTCTTGTCAATTATTGTAAAAAATCATGTTGCTTAGATGTTTATTGAGTGGAAACAGGAAAAATGAATGTTCAATCAGCAACGCCAAAATCAGACAGCAAGATACCAAGTGAAACAGAAACAGACTATACATTAATACTTCAGGCTGCAGCCCACACATACACAATGTTCATCAATTAAACGTAACAATAGCTTGGAGAATTATTTTAACTCCCGTAATGTTGAGACAAAATGTTTGAAGAAGAATATCAAATCCAGAAACAAGGTAAACACGTGGATATAGCACCGTTGTTAGAATACAAATTTAAGAAAGTAATGGAAGCACACATAGCCTAGCTTGCAAAATTTTAATTCATTATCATAAGATGACAGAAACTGCGGAAACATCATAAGTTATATATTATAATTGGGGCTATGATATCTACAAAAGACTTCACCAAGGATTGTGGCTTAAGTTGCAGAAACAAGTTAACTTTTACGTGTTCACCTTATCCAAACCCAATTAGCTTTCATATACACAACACGTAAACACAATGATCAACCACACTTCAGAACCAAAACATTCTAGCACATAGACGCCAAAGAGCATTATTTCTATGACCAATACAAGCTTCAAAAGCAAAAATTCCGAAGATCCTCATCCATGACATGGGACTATGAGAAGTTATCTTAATTTTCTGGACTGAGTAGCACAACTTTGGAGAAAGAGCAAAAAACAATGCATCAGGACTACTCCAACAAGATGACATTTGAATACATGAGAAGTCACAACGATGCTGATAACAAGCAATAATTGCAATACAAGTAACATTAAGTAGCAGAAACTGGACAGGTTAATCTGAGTTCCAGCAAGTGCAAACCAACTCTTAATTATTGAAAATCGCACGTAACTTGTTCAGATTAAACTCTTACAGCAACACAAAACCAAAGTAATCGGCAGGGATATTTTTCTTTCACGGCAGAACCCACCACAAATACAAAAGGCACAAGATCCAGCATGACCAGGAACCCTAGGTAATATTCATTTCTTGTACTTAGCAACCTCACCTTCATTTGGGAAAAAACCCATGAGCCTGCCGGCAGATTTCTGGTAAGCGTACATAAAACCTCCCATCACACCAATCAGGCCACCAGTCACCATCGACGGCCCCTTAATCCCAGGCTTAATCCCTAACCATTCATCAAACATTAAAGAAGGATGCCTTCAGGTCCATTCGGAATTAGTTTAAGAAACTGAAAAATCAAGAAACACATTTCCGATGAGTTACCAGAGAGATATCCGACGACGACGGAGACGCCGGTAATGGTGGAGAGGCGGAGGTAGTCGAGTGTGTTGAAATTCGCCACCGTCTTCGTGAAGGGAGGGTTCCGATCAATCACCGGGTACTCGGGCTTTGCCGACGCCGTTATGTCAGTATTCATGCTTCCTCTTTGCTGCTCAACTTTTCTACTCTGTAGAAATCAGTCTCCGAGATGCCACTGTTTTTCAGGTAGCTCGTTCGCGACGGGTTTACACTGCACATTACTTTATCAGGGAATCAGATGGGCCTGCTGTGTTCTCAGTAGTTGTGGGCTTTCTCTATGGTTCTTTGAAGAAGACCCATATTATATAAACGGGCAAGTGAAATTTGAAATAAGGACATTCCTTGTCCATTTTAAACTCTGTGCTTGGTATAAAGTCAAAATGATATTATATTTATTTCACGCCTTTTCTTTTTTCTTTTTTAAGAAATATTGTCGGACTTCTAACTTGTATATAGTCAAGACTTTAAAAGGGCTGCAAAATAACAAGTCTGCACGTCGATACAAACACCGAAAACAAACAACGAAACAAAAAAATGTAAAAGAAAACAACAACAACAAAAGTCCAAGCGAGCAGTTTGCACAATGAGTGGACCAAAAAAAAAAAAAAGTAAAAAACGACTACCCAAGAACGATGGGTAGTCCATCCGGTTCATCCGTACAAGCGTATGGAGGCGGAGATGAGCGTCGTCTGGATGAAAAATACGCCTTTGGAGAGTGGAGGAACCGACGCAAGCAAGGAAGTCAGTGGATCGGTTCCTCTCGCAGAAGATGTGCGAGATCTGATAGCGAATCGATTGAAGTGTGGATCTGATGCGCATGAGCGGGTGCTGAATCTGCCATGAGCTCTGCTGGCCCGTGGTCTCAATATGGTGGCGACAACATCCACGTCCTTTTTTTTTTCTGTGTTACTATTTCTCATTTGTATCTTATTTATGTTTTTTAATATAATAATATTTAGTATATTTTCAGCATTTAAAATTAAGTAATCTATTTAGATATACATTTATTCTTATTAAGAATAAAATATAAAAATAGTATTGAATGAGTGGGTAATGGGTCTCATATGTTTGTATTTAAATGAATGATTGAAAGCAAAAATTTGTAGTATATTTTCTGGTATTGTTGTGGCTAAGTATTCAAAATATTTAGGGTTTCCTCTTAGGATTGGCAAGTAAAAAGAAAAAGATACATTTTCTTATGTCAAATAGTGTGTTGTGTCAAAAATTTCAAATTGGAAAAAACAAGTTTTTAAGACTGGGAAAGAAGTGTTAATCAAAATTGTGCTTGATGTCATGCTCATTTATGTTATATATGTTTACAAATTGCCCGTGGGGTTGTGTGTTGGCACTGTAAGTGTATAGCCAATTTTTGTTGGGGGAAGAATGAGGAGAGGGAAAACAAATTCATTTGCTTAGGTGGAGTAAGTTGGCTATATCTAAATCAGAAGGGGTGCTAGGCTTTAGGAGCTTTGATGATTTCAATGTGGCTCCTTATTTTGAAGCAACTCTAGAGAGTGATAACTAGGCCTAATTTGTTGATGAGCATAGTGATTTGAGGAAGGTACTTCCACAAGCAAAAGTTATGGAGGTTAAGTAAAATGATGTGACTCATGGATGTGGAAAGGGTGGTTAGAAGTTAGGAAGTTTTTGGGTTGGGAGTTAGGTTTTCAGTAGAAAATGAGATGGTTATAGACGTTTTGATTCTCCTTGGATCCCAAATGTTCCAAATTTCAAGCCTGATGGTGGTTTTTCTGTTGATAAACAAAGGTTACACAATGTGGCAGATCTCATGATAGAAGGAAGATGTGAATGAGATAGGGAGTTGGTGTTGCAAACAACCGATCAGTAAAATGAAGCCAATATTATACTTAAAATATTCATACACAATTTGGGATGGAACTGTGAATCCATCAATTAGCGGATCTAAAAAAAAATCAGAAGATTGTCAATCTCCACCAACCCATAGTCATTCCCTTTGAAAGCCGTGAAGGGTATCGGGGATCTCACTTATCAAATTTCCAACCCTAAGTCCTTTATGCAGTTTTGCCGCACAAAAGAAACAATAGGATGGGGGCGCATCCTCCGTATCTCGGCTATGATTGAACAAAAACAAACTTCTCATATCGTCAAACGACGAGAATTCCCATTTCTTCTCAATTAGCAAAACCAACAATGTTGTAATCTTCTTCCAGTTGTTGGGCGTGATTTGGCATATACTAAACCCCCAATCACGCAAGTAGTCTGCTATTATGCTCAAGAGAGGGAACTACAGTCCCGACTTCAGACTTTCGGCATACACACCAATGCAACCCGGAGGGGGGCAGATACTCATTTCCCCAGGGTAAGGTGCAAACAATTTTACCGAGATCGGAATACAGATTTGCTCCTGAAGCATCACCACATCGGCATCCGTCAGCATACTTGGCTCACCCCTTAAATCGACAACAGGACCTGGCCACTGGCACGCAGGACGTCTTCAATAATCTGGCAATGCCACCATATCCCTTTCCACCTCTTGATCACCCTCGACATTATTCCATTTAATGTCGAGGCGCTCTAGATACACCGGGCCCCACTAGTAATATTCGCGTGCCAAATCCTCCAACTTGGAATCGATTATTTCTTCGGATACTGTCTTGCTGTTGGACGTAGTTGAAGACGCCATTTTCGCCACGAGGTTGTCAAAATTTTAATAGAAAAATGGAGATAAAACACAAAGCGAGAACTTATCGAAAAAATGAAAACCCTAGCCGGAGTGATTGAAGAAGAGTAGCAAGAAAAACTAAATTGCGAAAAATGATGAAGGGAAAGCAAAAGGAATTCGAGAATTTGTACGTTTGATGAGAGCAATGGTAAACCCTTTTGAAGTCAAACAACCCTAGTATTTCTATCGCTCCTTGCGACCGTTAGACAAAAAATAGGGGCGAGTGAGTTCTACGGCCAAGCGACATGTCGCGTCGTATCCATTTGCACTCCAATCTCTGATGGCCACGTGGACGTCCGTTATAGTTCATTAATCGCAAACACGACCTTTAATAAACCGTCACTTCTGAATATGACAGTTACAACGTTTCAGTCTGAGAATGAAATAAATCAAATCAACACCAAGTGTTCATACCTCGGAACAGTCAACACAAGTCAGAGTAAACACAGAAAGTTTTCCCAAGTCGGGATTTTATACACTAATGTACGACATCAGCAGTCATCAATATCGTATGTCTACTAATGTCGGGGGCCTGTATGTTGACAACCGACCTAGTCACGCCACACTTACATGTTCGAAACGTACTTAAGGTACAGAATCCATATCAGCTAAACTTACAGCACCTCGGCTCAGACTGGACAAGAAAACCGAACTTGTTCCTAAACTGATGTCCGTCTTCTTTCTCAATCGAGGTCCTCTTACCTAACCGACATGGCGACAAGACCGAATTCAAAACAGGTGACAAAGCACCAACATGACTCCATTACGCACCACCCATTTCATCATCATCCCTGTGGGCCCGACTACCACAAACTGCCTAAAAAAGGCGCTTTACATTAAATGTAGCTTACACGCCTCGAAATACGAACTAACAAAAGCTACTATAAATAGCTAGAATTATTCCCTGTAAAAAGGATCGAATTTTGAACATCATTACACATACATACAAAAACAACTCAGTTTCCGCTAAAAACCGACCTCTTGCATCACATAAACGTAGAAATATAATACAAATTTCTTGCATTTACCAACTAACCATGTGATAATTGTGTTGTTAAAAAACATATAAAAACACTCCTTTTGGTCACCGGCGAAGGATTTTCTTCTCGAATTTGGCGTCCCAGTTCTTGGTGGTTGTTTGGCCTGAATTGCAAGAACATTTGGATGCTTTTTTTTTCCTGGTTTGGCCTGAAATTGCAATATCTATAGGGGTGAGACGGGCTCGGGTAACCGAGCTATTTTTTTTGTCTTATTTATTGTTTATTTCAGTTGAAAATTGAAAATTTGAAGGGACGTTGTTACCGTATTGGGTGTAGAACAAGAATTTCTTCTCATAACAATTGTCCGCGCTTGAAATTGCAGAAAAAAAATCTATGCACGTGTATTTGTCAGAAAAAATGATCGCCGGAAAAGTCGTCCGTTCTAGAGATGGAGGACGTCGTTGGGTGAGTGGCAGCGCGAGGGTCCTTAGGTGTCCTCGAATTTCGGTGGGGTCGTGAATTACCCAAAAATTGTAGAAGAAGACCAGATTTCGACAGAAATTTTCTAGATCTAAAAACTTTGACCGGAACAACTGACAGCCTTACCGGTTGATGGGTCTCATCCTAGATCTGGAGCATTATTCTAAAAATCGGCCTAGGTGGCGCCTAGGCGCTAGGCGGTGCCTAGGCGACTTCGATTTGCACAAATCGACCGAAAAAATCAGCCAGGCGGCGCCTATGCGGGCCTAGGCGGCCCTAGGTGCTCCTTGGCGGCCTTGGCGGGCTCGACGGTCAGGCGGTTAGGCGGCGCCTAGGCGAGCTCGGCGGAAATTTTTCAGTTTTTTTTTTTTAATTTTTATAATTTTTTTAAATATTAATTATATTATTTTGTTCTCTGTTTTCTTTAAAATATATTAATTTGATTATTTGGACTTAGGTATGTCGATTTATTATAAGTTTAGATAATTTTATTTTGTAGGTAGTTAAAATAAATAAAAAATAAGGTATTTAATATTGATTTCTAGGCCCTGACTAGGCGCTTGTCGAGAGCCTAGCGGGCGCCTAACGACTTTTAGAACACTGGTCCGGAGTGAACAGGTGGTAATGAGCTCGAATCTTGAATCGCCTTCGAATCGTTGATAAACCGCAACAACACCTGCAAGAACTCAACGCCGGAAGTGTTTCCGGCATACAACTTCCGATGCTTAAGTCAGTATGTGAAAGAGATGAAGAAGAGCTGCTCTGAGAGAGCAGCAACAACAATAGAGGAGAGTGTAGAATGAGTGGAAGTTAGGGTTTAGGGTTACCTCACCTTCTTTATATAAGAGGAAACACTTACTCGAAGTACCCAAAATACCCCGGTCGGTTTACCTGAAAGGTCTGAATTGCCCTGGTCGATCCGTCTCCCCTCATTGCTGAGTCATGACAAGATTCCTTCTTATCCGTTGGATGATAAGAGACTTTAAAGAGATCACGAGTGTATTGAGTCGTCGGTGCGTTGCGCGCCTCGAGGCGCGAGGAATCGACCTCGAGTACAGAGAAGTCGACTTGGGGTTATCCGAACACTCGGAGGTTACGCTCCTATTGGATTTCTTAAGTAGAAGTCGACTTCCGGAAATCGACTGTGTGAGGTCGATTTATGGGAGTCGACTTACATGGATTCCGCCTTCCCTCATAGTCGTTATGCGAAGAGTCGTCACTGTGTTAGTCGACTTAGGTATGTCGATGCGTGGGCAATCCGGGCAATCGTCCAGTCGAGTAAGGAACTCTTAGACCGGTATATCGTAATATGGCTATATCACCGGTGCAATTTTTGCCTGAAATTTTAAAAAGTGAACATGTACGAGAAGAACTTAAGATGATGTAAAATAATTATGATCGATGGTGGTTGACCGATTGTCAGCGTACGACGACAGCGAAGGCCGGTGAAGGCGGATGAGTGATGACGTGCTGAAAAGGGTTAGGGTTGCAAGGTCTCGGTTTTGAAAATTTAATAAGTTCTATGGACTATTTTGCAATTTTGTAATTTTTATTTTGAAGCCAATGTTTCCTACTCACGGCACATAAATCACAATCACGTCATCTTAGATTTAAAATGTCACGTCACATTTTTATTCATGGTGCAAATAGAAAATAACCAAAATTGATTAAATTGTTAAATTATTCGACCAAGTTTAAAAGTGATCAACGAAAGACCGGAAAAATTTTTGTGTGTTAGCAAGTATTACCCCGTTGGGGTCGGCTCTAGGTGGTCTTTGACTGTCTCCCCACTTTAATTGACTGTTCATATTAAGATGTTAACTGTTTGTATTCAGCTCGTGGCTACTCTTTTGTATATTTGTTCGGTTATATATAATATCTCTATGGAAACAAAAAAAAAAAACGGAAAAAATTAGATTTTGGCCACCAATTTTATTTTTTTTTTCCTAGTAAATAACACAAAGAGCGACGCCGACTTTCTTGAATCAACTCAAAGGCAGGCAATTTTCCATAATTTTCGACTCCCTGCTGCTCGCGAGGAGCCATTTTCGTGAAAGCCATCTGCTTAATGAGGCAAGCCCCACAAAGAACGTGATTTCAGTTCTTAGGCTTAATCGATTTGGACTATGGTGTTTGTGTTTTTCGTTTTCGTCCACAAATTTACAGTCTTTGATAAATTTCCAAGAAATCGAGTGATTGGATGAAGCTGACACACTATTAGGGCTTTCTGGTCTGATTAATTTATGGCTCCATTCCTTTCTCCCTGAATTGTCGACAGAGCATGAAAATTTCAGAGTCCAAATCGCGCGCACACACATACTCAATCACACACTTAATTTCAGTTCTGATTTTTATATGTGTTGTATGTTGGCAGGCTTTGAATTTTTGAATTTGATTTCGTACTCTCATCAGGGACCTTTCATGGCGTTTCACCAAACTCAAATCATTAAACCATCTGCTTGTCTTAGCATTTTTGTTGCAGGACCATAAAAAACATTCGTACCCGAACTCGACTATGTTTAGTTGTTAATTTTTCCTTGAAATAAATGTTTTCTTGCTTTTCTGGATATATGGTGTGGTACTGGTTGAAATTTGTGGAGGATATTTCTCTGAACTTTTGCAGTTCCCTTTTGGAATGACAGATTATACTGTGAATCCTAAAGCAATATCTATTCCTCTTTATGGAAGAGTGCGAGTTACATGCAGATAGTAGTACGACTCGAAACTGGGACGAGTTGTTTGACATCTATGCTAAAGTGATCACAGGTGATGACGACACACTTAAAATCCGAGCCACGGTCAAGCTTGCCAAATTGTCCAGATACGCCCCTGGAAATGTTTTGGCCCGCACATTACCCATTCTACTGGAGCTTCTCGAAAACCCATCGGCCGTTCAAGCAGCTGCTGCCTACTGCTTGAAACATATTGCCTCAAAATGTGAAGGCAAGTTAGCCAACATCATCACTCAATTAGGCGGCATTCATATTCTACTGAAACTACTTCCAGATTCTGAACACGAGCTAAAACGGACCACACTGAAGTGCCTACGAAACATCGTCTCGTTTTCCGTCCCGAGCCGTTCAGTTTTATCTAGCAGTGGCGGACTCGATACTGTGGTGTCTATGTTAGGCTCGAGCCCAGGTGACTGCGAGGTGATTCTGTTGGAAATCCTCAGTGCGTTGTCTCTCCTAAGGGAGGTGCGCAAGTCTCTCTGTGAATCGAGGCAGGCCCATTTTCTAGTTCGGGCTGCCGGGCATGGCTGCTTGGTCTCCAGAGCCCGGGCTGCTCAGGCGATAGGCTTGATGGGGGTGAACAAACGGGCCCGTGCGGAGTTAGTCGAGGCTGGAGTGATGCCTGTGCTTGCGCGCCTTCTCAACGAGGGAGATGAGTTGACGAGACTTGTGGCTGGCAACGCGCTGGGCGTGATCTTGGTTCGCGTGGGGTCCACAGGTAGAACAGGGCTCATCCCTTTGTACATCGACATGCTCCGGTGCCGAGACCCCACCTTGTGGAAAATCGCGGAGGACGTTCTGTTTGTGCTGGCCGTCGATAAAGAGAATGCGGTTGAGATTGCCGAGCAGTTGATGAGGATTTTGAGAGGAAATGATGCGGGGGCAAAGGCTGTAGCTGCGGATGTTGTGTGGGCCCTCGTACGCCAGGAGTGCTCTGCTCGTGTGATGTGGGACTCGGGCGTGGTGGGGATTGTGGTGGAGCTTCTCGAGGACGAGGATGGGAGTGTGAGGGAGAATGCCTCGGGGGTTGTTGCCCAGTTGAGTTATAGTGTCCGTGATCGTGCGGCGCTCGCCGGGTGTGGGGCCATACCATTGCTCGTGAGGGTGATGTCGGGGGATGAGTCGGGTGAGGATAAGGAATATGCCGCCGAGGCCCTCCTCAATTTTTCGATAGACCCACTGTGGAGTGATCAGGTGACGTGTGTTATGGATAATCGTTTATTTCTGAATATGTGTGAAAGTTTGAGGAGGGTGTGGGCTGTGGAGGAGAATGTTGGTGTGATTTCGAGGGGGATAAGGATGGAGGAAAGTGATTTATAATGGTATGTTCGACTTTGGTTGTGAATATTCTGAGGAGATTTGAGGCCCTTAGGGTGTGCATATGAGCACTTTCTGTCTATCAGAAAAGGAAAGCTGCATCTCTTCTCTATATATTTGCTACTGATTTCTTACAATATGTTCGAGCACCGAGTGGTAGATTGTACTCAAGTACCTAGGCTGGGCCTTAGTGAGGTTATGTGGGGTATACTTTGGCAGGAGCGTGGGAGAAGAGAATGTAAGCGGCCAAGTAGAATTCAGCGCCTGTCTTGATTTTTTCAACGGTTGGAAGAAGAAAAATGGAAAAGATTTGTCGGCTGTATGTTACTGGTGAAGTGCAAGTTCTTTATTTTATGAAGATCTTTCAATCAGCATATGGCACTTGATGAAAACCTCTCATAAACTCAAAGACCTAGAGAATTTGGTTTTTGAATTTTCTCTTTTCTAATGTTATTTTCAAGTTCGTTCTCTGGCTCGACAGTCTTACGGATGAAAGTATGTGACAGGTATTGAGATACTTGGACAGCAACACGGGACTAATTCAATATCAGCCTGAGAGAATGTAAAGCCTCGTTTATTTTTTTGGATGATATAGGAATGTATTTGTCTTTAAAAGGATGAGATTGTACTTTATGGATGATCAATTTTGATGTACAATTTGGTTCACATTATGATCCATAACCACGGTTATTACGTTGGATTAGAAATTGTATCTCCCATAAAGAAAGAAAGTTTCTTGAAAGGCCCATTTTTCAGTTACCATTTTTAGCAAGGAGGTTAGACAATCATTTATTTGCATCAGTTCCATGATTTGGTTACATGGTTTGTTAGGGAACAACTGTAACACAAGTGTAATATTCTAGTTAAATTAAGATGGAATAAACCGGATAGTCTTTATCAGCCTGCACAAGATTCGTAAAGCGTCTGTGTAGGAATCTATCCGATTTCCTTGGTTGAGAAAATTGTGTGACGAATTCTGGGATCGAATGTTAAGTCACTAGGAATCTACCCGTTTTCCTTGGTTGAGAAATTGTGTGACGAATTCTGGGATCGAATGTTAAGTCACTATTTGGACAACCGGTTGATCTTTTTTCCCCCCGGACTTCAACTCTTTTTTATTTTTTCGATGTTTTATGGCGTTTTCTACTAGCTTATAAGGTTCTAATTCTCATTAAGATTTTTCAATTTGTAATTTTCAGTTTTAATTTTTTGTTTCTGGTGGCTCTGTTCTCTTGTGTGTGTATGTGTTAGAGAAACAACCCACATTTGCAACTCCAGCGGTTCAATGAATGTTACGAAAAAGGAACAAAATATCTCCACACAAAGGAAAACAACAAAAGGCACTCCATGGCATCATTCAACATTAGCTCTACATTGTTTTTGTTCCTCGAACGAACGAGCAAGGGTTATGATATGGTCAGCCGAGCAAAGACAAAACCATCAGACACAACAAACAATCCCCAATCTGTCCTATCCTACCCTTTGCTGGGTCTTTCTCATCATATTTTCAGCTTTGGAAGTTCATTTTGCAGCTACATCATGCACAAAACTGCAGCATTTATTTCTGAACCAAAATTACTCCTCACTTTCATTTCAACTCATATGGGAAAAGAATGAGCAGTGAAACTACATTTAACTTTTCGATTCTCTCTCACTCTCTCTTCTTTTTCTTTCTTGTCTTTTAACGAATACAATTACTAATTGCTCGACTGATCCTTATTACTGTCTTCCTGTATAGACACATAATCATTTGCTACTTCGTGAACTGGATCCTCGTCAACCTCTGTACTAGCTAATTCGTCATCACTGCCTGATTTTCTTTTCCTAATTTTCGTTACCAAAACAGTAACGTCTTTGGCCCCCGGTGGCGCCTCTTCATTGTTTATTCGTTCAAACCGAACAGCACTAACCTTTCTTGCATTCCCAGCTAATATCTGCGCCAATCAAATGGACAGACATTAATACATTGGAGATGTCTTAACTAGTCGTAAAGCAAGGTGGAATGCTAAAACTTGCTCATGGGGGAACAAACGGGGCATGCTTTTTTCAGTTGCAGGAGAAACAGCTTTTGCATCTAAATTGTCTTTTTATATGTCATTACAAGCAAACAATTTGTCTGTTATCCAAAACCTCACGCATATCAACCTGTCTCGTACATATTCCATTTTTTATAATTAGTTAGGTTTAAAAATAGAATGAAAAGGAAGTAATGAGAAAAAAGGGGTTAGGATAATGTATTTTGCCAACCTCAAGTTTAAATGTATGAGTCTTCTCGTTTTCATCTAGACGGTTAGATTCTGCCCCATTATAATCACCATGATCTTCTTGACTAGCTCTTTCAAGGACTACTTTTATGGTCTCACCTGTCCTCGGGATATACCCAAATGCCTCACAGACAAAACCTGACACCGTTTCATACTGATGACCCTGAATGAGAGAGCAGCTTCAGAAGCATGAAACGTAGTTTACAACTTTACAGTCAAGTTAAATTATTTATTCCATAAGTTCCAAACAAACACAAAGGAATGGAAAGAATTAAAGGGGGCATAAGAAATTCGGAATCATTAGTGGTACACTAACTTCTTTGAATTTTCAACAAAACAATGATCAGGAAGGAATCCTGAAAACACATATTACTCGTCCATTGTCGTAAGCGTGGGCATATAGAATTTTGTGCCCCAAATTCCAAATTATTATGAATGCAGAAGAATGCTAAATTTATAATAGAAGCAGACGAACGAACTGTAGATGCATTAATTAAAATACCTCTGGCATTTTAATGTTTAGATCTTCAGAGAGCTGGTCGATAGATGTATTAGCATCCACGTCATATATACCATCAGCACGCATAACCACATACCCAGTTTTTTTCCGAATTTCCTCCTGGCACAGCGAAAAATATAAGGTGAAACACTTGTAGTACCAGTTCAACTATGAACAAACTCCAGTATAACCAACCAGTGCATAAATCATTAGTATTATAAGCACATCATAACAACCAGATGGTTGAAGCACTAACTTGAAATATTTCATCTTTAGAGAGCAAGATCTCCAATCAAGTAGTTACTCACTGTACGCATGCAACATAATACGCATGCAACATAATAGTTTAAATCCACAAAAACTAAGTGAAATACTCAAGTAGAAAGATTTTAAAACAGTTATCAGTAATCAAGGAGATCTTATATGTAATCAAAAATAGGCCTGAATTAGCAGTAGCATTCATGTGTATAACAGTCCTTCAGTACTCCACTCTAATAGTATCTACGTTTTCTAAACATGCATTCAGAGTGCCTAACACGTAACAAGTAGTTTATATACAAAGTGCACACGGTATATATATTGATGGGCAGTAAAACACGGCATCTCGACTCCCGTGCCCATGTGTCACTAACTATTTCCAAAAGACTGTCCATGAAATGCAACAGTGAGGACATGACAGACTATGGACTCCGGGCAATGTTTAAACTGCAGTACCACTTAATAAAGAAATAGTTAACAGACAACCTTACCTTTGAATCATTTTCATCAAAAATTTCACCAACAATTTCTTCAACCACGTCTTCAAGTGTCACAATCTGATACAGCAACAAAAAATATATCATATATTTGCTTAGAGCAGAAATTGCCTATATGTATCAGCAAAACCAATAAGCAGTAAACGCAGAAACAGAGAAGAAGCATAGCTTACACCAACTGTTCCTCCATATTCATTCAGAACAACAGCCATGTGTACCTTCCTGATGCGAAATTCTCTAAGAAGATTCCACACAGACATTGAATCTGAAATATTTTATGGATTTGAAGATGCAGAAGGTGTTAAAATTGAATTAAATAAACAAAGAATTACTTCAAATTAAAAGAGTCAATATGCATCAATCTGGAATTGTAACTCTTGACATGACCAAAGTAGAATTCGGATTAAAATACCATACATGTGGCTTGAGATAATGATAATTGTGCTTCTCACACCAGCTACATATTCGAAGATGTGCCGTAGATCTAACAAAAAATGGGAAATAAAGGAAGAATAGAGTGGAAGTCCCATTCTTCACCAAACAATCATCTAAGGTGCAATGTCAAGCTTGTACTCCAGGCAAGTTGAGAAACTAATATGAAAAATTAGAAACTGGAATTTACCAGGAACAAAGTATGCAGGTTTGTGGGCCATATCTCCCACCACTGAACTTTCTAGAAGTTCCCCCTTCAAAACCAAACAGAATACATAATTTTGCACGTTAAGAGGTTTTTGTGTACAACCAGGAAAATGAGAGCCAAGATTTGGAATAAATAAAAACAAAATAGAATTTCATTTTATTTTTACCTTCTGCACATAATCCAAAAGATCCATTGCATATGCAATACCAACAATGTTGTCAATTCGCTCCTCAAAGACAGGAACCCTACATGTGCTTTACCTTCTTAGACTAATCAAAAGGGGAAAAACAAAAATGACAACACCAAGATTTACCTGGAGTATTGATGCTCCACCCAGGAGTTATGAAAATCAACAAGTGTTGCACTGCTATCTATGGCAACAACATCAACAAGAGGTGTCATCACCTCTCTAACATGAGTATCTTTTATTTCCAACACATTTTCAATCATGTCCTGGCAAGGGTCTCACAATATAAATTTCAACTATGACAAGTAAATAATATATTATCTATACACACATTTTTTTCATTATTAATTACGTTTGGCACATTACAGGATTTGTGTTTTTTCAACTGAAACAGAAAACTCTGCAATTTTGCATGATAGATGGTACAAAATTATTGCAGCACAATATACTAACTTAAACCGTGCAAGAAAATCATTATAATGATATAACAAAACTATTACCTGTTCTTCCTCCTCAATTGCCCCACTTAACTCAGCTCCACGTAACATCAATTTTAGTTCATCCTCAGTTACATATGGTTCGCTACATTACAATATACAGAGTAAGCAATCTAATGGAATCAAGCGAATTGTGTAAGCAGGAAGTCAACACTCAACAAACAACAACAGATAAAGAGGCAAATGCGTAACAGTATTTCATGAGGGCTTATTGATGCATAATATTAATATGAGAGAAACTATTCAATAATAGGATCTACACTTTTTTCCAAGAAACTGAGAAAGAAAAGGAAAAAAAAAAAAACCTTTGAAGTTTACCAGCATTTTTTTGACATTGACAACTCTTGTAACAAAATTGGTGTAATTCTCCTTTGTAAAATTGACCTCTGCTACATAGTTCTAAAATAACTGAAACCATTGAAAATCAGTTTTACACCAATATTATGATAAAAACGGATTGGGGACATCCGAATATTCATGTGACAGACATAACAGACGTAGAAAGCATATAAAAGAAGTGACATAATTCCAATCAGTGATAAACCTCACCTTCTTCCTTTCAAACCTAGCAATTTCAGCATTCCCATTGACAAATACGTTACGACTCTGCCGACAGGATACAGTACAAGTGAAAGCCATGCCACTGGTCTGACCTAAATGCAATTGGGATAGCAGTTTACAAGAGCTGTACTAAGGCATAAGTTTTCACAATTTTACAACAACTAACTTCCCTTGCTTTCAACATATTTTTTGGGCATATTTGCAATTGGAAGATCAGCATTTTACTTTGATCATATTTTAGTTTGACGTTAAAAATTTTACCAGCTCAAAACTTACCACAAACCTTGCGACCTCAGTGGCATTGTGAACAGCTATACTTTTCGGAGTAATTTCAGTGAGAAGCAGAATAGCAACCTGGCATCACTTGTAGTTTCAGGCTTACCAAGCACTTTGAAGGGGAAGGAAAAATACATAAAAGCAATAATTACTGTAAAAACAATAACAAAGAATATTTTTGCAAGAACTTCATTTTTAGAAGTGATGTCCCTTCTCTGCTTAAGGTAAAACAAGCATAACTACAATAGTTTCTCAAAATCATTAGAAAAGATAAAGAAGAGTTGATTTCAATAACAAGATTACTTATCAATAGTATTCAGTAAAGACATGTACATAATAAATAGGAAAAAGAAGAGAAAAGTAAAATGATCATATATAGTACACATTATTCAGAATGAACTATAAAATCAGTATATTACGATATTGCACCCTAATGCAGGTGTTCAGAAATAGCAACATTCTATTTATCATATTCCCACAGCATATCCACATCTAATATCAATTTATATCTTTACTATTTACAACTAAAATTTAAGTCTCTAAACCTACTGTCATGACTCCAGTAGCTGCACTGACACCAGCTTCACCAAATATGGCAGTAGCAGCTTCAGTGACTAATGCTGTAGCACCAATATTCACAACTCTGAGAAAATAAACATGTAGATAAGGAACACGGTCACATTCAAAAGAACAAAACAACTACTTGTAATTTCAACAATAGCAGTACGTGGTGCCAATGAGGATTGTCGTCAGAAATCGAGTAACGTCATTTCGTAGCATTTTGAAGACACCATTCTCAGACTCTTTTTCAGCCAATTCCCTCACCTGCATCCAGTACAGCATTAGCACATTCACAGTGACAGCTAATACTCTTTCCATAGAACAGAAGAGAGAAATAGAAAGAAGCTAAATGTGAACTTTCACAAAATGCAGCAGCAGTCAATTTTTTGTCAGACATAAAATAGAGGAGTAAGTATGAGTATACATCTTATTAACCCATAGCTAACCAATAAGTGCATGCCAACAGAATATAATCCACAAACCTACTCAATGTGCTTCCATCAGATTACAATCACCACAGACAATACCAACATTTTGCCTCTGGACACTGCCAAAAGTATTATGACGCGAAGGAGTGACGATCAAATCTACAATAGACCCGATTTTTGAAGTTTCAGTTACAACAAATAGTGTGGAATTTTAGTACTTCACATGACATCTTAAGTCAATGTGCACACTCCAGAAAGGACAAAGTGAATTTCTAATTTTTTTATGACAGGAAGGTATTTGGCTTCAAGTCTTCAACCCAGAAGGGCATTCTTCAGCATAAAAATCTAACACCATAGGATCTTGGAATGAGGAAAAAAAAAATGTCACTTTCACTTAAATACATGATGAAAATTTGTACCCCAAAGTAGCACCAGCAAATGCAACATTACACAACTCTAGAAGGCTATACGCAAGCACACATATCCCACATTTAATTCCCCCATACCTTCCAAGGCCAAAGCGTTGTGATGGAGGTCTCTGCCATGGAGAAAAACGCGGATAGCCCTAGTAGAGCCGCAAGAATCAAACCCTGTTCCCTGAAAAGAGTCAGAACCTGCAAAACCTTGGGCCATGAGCTCCTCAGAGCCAACAAGCTCCGCTCCCAGACCCCGTAACCCGTACTCACAACACCCTCCACCGCCAATGTCCTTTGCCCTCTAAATATAAATAGGACCCCAACAGCTACGGCGGCAATGGCTATTGTTCTCCTTGCTAAAATAGTCTCAAAACTTACAGCCCCCGCGGAATCACTGACATTGTCATTCAAACAACTGGTTTTGAAGGAACACAACCGAAAGGGAACCCTAGCATTTGAGTTGAACAAAAAGATAGGGGAGTGGTACGGCGACGTACAACAAGTGGTGCGGCTGAGTTTTCTGGGTGAAAACTTTGGCGTAAGATTTACTGCGGGCCTACGCAGAACGAGCAACGAGGAGTTCCAATTGTTAGTGAAGAACGGCTGTCGGACACATGGGATCTCCGACGCGGCGGCGGCCACAGCTGCTGCGTCCATGGGAATTATTGTATGATCAAGTATAGGTATTAAATGTGGAAAGGGAGAGAGATTCAAATTTTTTGTGGCGGGTAAAGGGAGAATCTAGGGCCTTTTGCGGAGTGTGAATCTAGTAGCTGATGAGAAGCTCATCGTGGTTTATTGTTGTCCGAGAGCTATGGCTTCTCTTCAGATTTTTTCTTTTATTTTTTTTCTCTTTTCTGTTCGACAGAAGAAAAGTACTCCGGCAAGTTGGCCATGGTGGAATGGCATGTATACCCTTGTCACATTGCTCACATTGGATAAGTGTTTTAAAATGCGTAATGCGTCGCGTTTTGGTCTGTTCATATTGCGTAGCATAAATAGCATAGAGTGTTGAGTATGCTATTTGGGTATAATTTTTTTTTATATATATAGAAATATTACAAATATATTTGCATATAATAAAACTGGATAGTTAATTACAAAAATTGTCATAGTATTTGAATTGACTTAAAAATAACATCTAAGGATAAATATTTGATGTAAATATCATCATAATATAAAATCATATAATAAATCGAATATACTAAAAAGTAAAAACAAACAACGAAAATATAATGAGGTAAGTCATAGTATAATTTTAAGTATATGCATTTTAATTAATTAATTATTATTTTTATTTAATTATAACTTAACTAGTACAACACCCGTGTATTACACGGGTGCTTGCTAAATTTTTTTCTTAAAATTTAAAATTAATGAAAAAAATAGTTTGAAAATTTAAATACCTTTTATAAGAATATGTATATTACTATATATTTATTATGATACATTTTATTTGTGCGACTTACTTGTGTTATATTATACTAATTTTTTAACTTACAATATATAACTACATTAAATATAAATATATCAATTGAGAAATAATTTTATTTTTCTAATGAATTTTAATAAATATTATTATTTTTTATTATTATAAAGATAAATATAATTTATTTATTTTATATATACAATATGGATGTCAAATCGAAGATCATTAAAAGATGATTAATTTGATATATTATATATGTAAAACCGATAAGAAATACAAAAGTTATCTACTTTTAAAATACATTTATATTTCAATAGCTTATTGAAGGAAGCAAATCAAAATTTAAGGATATATTAGTCAATTAGTGCCTCATTATGTAAAATTACAAAAAATTAAAAGGTTATATTAGTAAAAGTGATATTAAAATACCTAAGTTAGCTAAATAATATTTATGGAATACCCGAACCTAGATTATTAATTATTAATATATTAATATTATCTGTCCAAACCTAATTACGAAGCATGATTCTTCGCCAAATAGGATTCCGAAGCACCAGGAGCAGCCACGTAGGCTCAGCGCATTCTGAAATTATATACAGAGAGGATTATAATCATTAGATATGAACTTTTTATTCTTTATTTAAATGTCAAGTATTGAAAAATAAAATGATATAACAAAAAATGGACAGATAAATATTGCACTATTCAACTTAGAATTTGCATTTTCAAACTTTTAATTTGAAATCATTGTCAAAATTTTTAGTTTTTAGGTGTCATTTGTAAATTTAACTCTAATACCTAAAAATACGAGTTTTTGAATACTTTATTTTTCAAATGTCGTAGAAATATAGCGCAATTTAGTGCACAATAGCGTGAAATAGCGCAAAATAGCGTAAGAAAGCGTGCCATTTCGACATTGCGCGCAAAATTTTCAGAAAAAATGCTAAATATATAAGGCTACGTCGCGTTTTTTCAAAAATAGTGAGCTATTTAAAACAATGCATTGGATGTCAAAAATTAATTATGTTCTTATTAACACCAAATTTATTTCATTAAATTGGATATAAATTAAAATTTACAAAAAAAAAATTAATTTTTTCTCTATAGTTTAATTAGAATAAACAATAAACAAAAAGCAATCGTACTATTATATAGGTTTAAGCAAAAATATATTATTCATTTACTCATATATTTCTAACTATCAATAGTATTACACAATGTATTAACTCTATATCGGATCAAGTTCAATCAGTATCGATATGCGTCATACTTGTGTGCATATCGAGTGATTATTTGATAAGTTTAGTCGTAATTTATCGTCGAAATGCGCACCTTTTGTTATGATTTCTTTTTTTCTTTCAAAACGATAGACTTTATAAAACGAAAAGTACAGTACACTGATACAACATGAGCAGCCAGCCGATTGAAAATGGGGAGCGCTAACAATAGCGACATAGAGAGAAAAAAAACAAACAAACAAATTGCCCCAAGAGTTAGGTACTGACATAGACTGATGTTATAACAACGGGTACTCCCTCTTGAGCAGACGTACAGGGAGAAAACTAGTGCAAACCAAAAGATAAAGTTGCCACTAAACTGACGAACCTAGCAACTTTACCACTAAACAAAAACAGGACAACACTCTAGCTAACAAGAATTAACAGACTCCTAACTCCACAAGCAAGAAAACAACAACAGAAACTATATACAAGAAAATTCTACCAGGAAGAGGAGGTTTCCTGGAAAATGAAGAATTCAGAGTGCCAGAAATTTTGAAACACCCACCAATTTTTGTTATGACTGATTAAACTTTAATGAAAAATAATTGTTAGTTCTTATGGAAAATATACCAAAGAACGAATCATGAATGGATTCATAATGAAAAACAACAAGAATCGAGGTGTTAAAAGTTCACACGACTCGTGTGGAGTGATGTCAAGCCACACGGGTGGTGTAGGAGAGGAACCTGAGCACATTTTGCTAGAAAGAACCACACGAGTTGTGTGAGTATGTGCACTAAGTTACATTGCTCACGTGGCATGTCGTGGCAGATCACAGATTGTTGTTTTTGCGCGATTATTTTCTTTTTTTGATGGAAATTCTATCTACATTATATATAGGACTTAGGGGACTCTTCCAGGACAACATTGAGAGGTCTTAGAACACCATTGGAGGTTGGGAAGATACACAACACGAGAAAGAAAACAGATAAATGAAGATTGAAAAAATCAAATAAGCTTTTACTTTCTTTTTCTCTTCTCTGAACTCAATGTTTTATGTTATTTTTATGGTTTTGAAGTCATGTTTCTAAGTTTATTCACTTATGATTATAGGATTTGTGAGTACTCGGATTAATTTATGGATTAATTTTTTATGGCATTCATTCGGTTTATATGTCGTTTATGAATTTCTTGTGCGTATTTTTTACCACTATTTATGTATATTTGTGATAAACTTGAGATCGAGAAGAGATAGTTAATTGATAGAATTGGAAAAATGATAACATAAGAAACGGCAAAACGATTCTTCAGAATCGGAGGAGTTGATACAAACATGACACGTGTTAATAGTCAAAAGCGACACGAAGGCTACAGAGAGTGAGAGGTCGAACCAGAACTTGTTGAACAATGGAGGGTCTAAAGACCTGATCAACAATGTTGGGAGAAATCCGAAAAGCAGTTCGACTGACATGCTATGGTTGGTTCAAGCATTAATGACAGACAAGACCATCAACTCACAAGTTGTCGGACATACGTATTATTACCCCGACCATTGATCACGGTTGATATTCATACCATAATCATTACACACACACATACAGTATTCGGTTGTACCATGTGTATGAATAGGCCAAAGAGCCATTATAAAAGCACCTTTTTTCGAAGAGAATAAAAAATCTCGAAAGTAAAAAAGCGAAACTCCAAAATTGTTTGATAGATTATTCTAAATATCTATAATTTATAACTTCAAACTATTACTAATATCCGTTGCTACAGATCCATTTAGCAACACATTGATATAATGAGCCTAATGAGATTTGATCCTATTTCTTGATTGATGTCGCTTAAGTACTCGTCTTATTGAAATTTTTTGTGATACTAATTTGAACAAAATTATTTCATGATGGTGAGCTTTGAAAATGATTTAGGTAGTTTGTAAAACTAGACCGTTTTAGCCCCTAATATTTTTCTTAGCAACCCGTTGAGCTTTGAGCATCTTTTTTGTTAGCCCGATTATAAGATTTTGTTGGGGATCATTGTATCGATAGATGGTGATGAAGAGTTAATTGTTGGATGATGGGTTATTGAATTGAGAGTTGATTTAGTTGTTTTTATAGTGCTCAAGTATAAAACACATAATAATAATGACAACTCGCAAAATGAATTACAGGGGTTCTACCAATCTAGCTTGTTGATTATGTTGTAATATGACTTACATGTAGAAAGAGAATCTAATTGTGGGAATCCTTAGATAAAAGGATGTGTTTAATGTTACAAATGTAATGTTCAAATTCAATGTGAGGAAAGCTTAACCGTGTTCGGTTTTGAGATGTGAGAATGAAACTCAAAGTTTCATTACTTGTTCATTACTTTTGCCTTAATGGAGGCATTAATGGAACACCTCTTCATTGAATGAAAGCATGCCTTATGAGCACTATATAAATAGTGAATGCATGCTAATGGGAAGAACACACCAACAAAGTTAAGGAAAAGAAAAGAAACATATACATATATTCTCTTTTATCCTCTACAAGTCTAAGAATAATTAAGGGTTCTTGGCGACTGAGCTTTTGATCGAGGTGAGTGTGTTAGATAGTGCAGTTTTCACACTTTGAGCCGTCTTATCCTGGGAGAAAAGGCATAGTACTCGTTGCACAGTATCGGGGCGTCTGTTTCTTCAAGGCAAACAGATTTTTTGTGATTCGGCTATATGTGTTCTATGACTATATAGAACTGTCAGTTTAGTTATTTATTTTTATAATAAAATTATTTACTAATAGAAATCTGGTTTCATCTCACGTTCCCGTGGTTGATGTTTGTGGTTTCTATTTTCAAATTCTTAATACGTATATGTGTTGAACTCGTTCTTAATTCGCCTTTTACAATCATTATTTTTTCAACAGATTATTTTGTCGAGTTATGAGAAATGAGAAACCACTCTAAGACACTTGATGACCTCCAATACTTACGATACATAAATTTGTCCTTGATTTTCATTCTTATTTCGAAAAAGTGAACTCTTTAAATACATGAGTAGTCTATTTTCTCGAGAGACTTGACTGTTTATTTGAGCTACTTAACCTATATTTATCCTTCCTTTGACGAAAAACTTTACAACCTGATAAGACTTAAATTCTTTGCTCCTAATCAATGATTGTGTTTGAAGTAAGTTTAGATGATGTGCAAACTCATAGTTAACCGAGTTTTAAATTAACTCGAGCACATTCATTATATATAAATATATATATATATATACATTTATATATACAGTAATGTTCCCCTACTCACGGTGGACACATGTTAATATGTCCATTTATGTGACATGGACACATTGGTTAATGTATTTTTTGAACATATTAACAACACATTAACCAATGTGTGCACGCACATAAGCGGTGGGCATATTAACATGTGTTCACCGTAGGTAGGGAGCATTACTGTTTATATATATTGATGACATGTGAGTGAGAAGCACATATATTTTTCCTATTTTAGGGTTTGTTGATAAGGTGGATAGATAAGTTAATAGTTGATGTTTATGAATTGTATTAAATGATTTGAACATTTTCTTGTTTGATATCGTTTTTTATGCTTGAGTTTTGATTGTTATGATCTTGTTCTAAGATTAGCAAGTGTTAAGTTTGGGAGAATTGACCCGATTCTTGTGCTAAGTCATAATGGGTATGGTCTATTTTTTTCTTTTATTTCTCCATCATTTAAGACCTAAGTCCGGTATAATGACAACTAAGCATAATTAAACCTAAAATATTGTGGATGCTATAAAAATTGAGGTTTGTGAATACTGAATACCATTAAAATTGAGGTCTTTGTGATGTGATGTGCATTAGAAATGAAAGGAGAAGTTTGTAGAGTTTTGGTGTTAAAGTTGTTGTCAAAATGGACTCAGTGTAGACGTGGCCAGGTGCCGGTTTTCGGCCCGGCCCGCCGGGCCATGGGCCCTCCAACACATGGCACGCCACCGGCCCGCCTAAAAACCAAGGGCCGGTTCACAGTACCGGCCCGAACCGCCGGTTCACTGACCCGGCGGTTCACAGGCCGGTACGGTCCTTTAAAAAAAAACTTTAACAAGGTGGCCCGCCGTCCGACCCAGCCTGGACCGGCGGGACCAAAATAAAAAGAAGGAACCGGGACCGAACCGCGGCCCTACGGGTCCCGGTTCAACGAACCGGCCAGTTCGGGCCGTGCCGGTGCCGGTCGCAGGTCGGGCCATGGGTCGATTCGGGCCGTGACCATGTCTACCTCAGTGTCTATCACAAGCAGAGTTGTTAGTTACAACCTGTTGGGGACTCTTATTTTTGGTTTGCTTGGAAGAATTAGTTTAAATGTCACCGTACAACACAATCAGACCCAAAGAATTTCAACATTATATAAATAATGTAGTGGATATGTTTTGTTATTACATACGGGCACTTGAAAGATTCTCAGAACTCGGGCTCGACCTCATGCTGTATTCGGCCACGAGCTTCGTGAACGAAGAAAACTTGTTTTCGAGCAACTTTCCGGGAGTATCATACTCTTTCACCAGTCCTGCACCATGAAAGTAGAAAAGCATGGAGTTGGTTAATCTCATTCATAGAAGTGAGATAAAAAATTAATGCAACATGGCATGCGGAACTACCGTTGTCCAAGAGTAAAACCATATCACTGTCGAGCACGGAGGTTATCCTGTGAGCGATGGTTATTATTGTCGAGTCGGTAAAGTGGCGTTTGAGAGTCTGTTGAATTAGATTATCAGTAGCCGTGTCGACTGAAGCCGTTGCCTCATCCAGAACCAAAACCTTGCTTTTCTTTAGGAGCACACGCCCGAGGCACACTAGCTGTCTTTGGCCCACACTCCAATTCTCTCCATTTTCAGAAACTGGAGAATTTCAAAAGAGACAATTCTGATGAAAACGCACGCATTTGGACTCGAAAAAAAAAGTTTTACTACAAAAACATGGGGTATAAAAATACCGGCAGAATCGAGCTTCTCGGTCTTTTTCCGGACTTCATCCCCAAGCTGGCATTTGTCGAGAGCCTTAAAGGGAAAAAAGAAAAAGTGAAAACCAGTATAAAGATACAAATCTTATCGTTTTTTCGTATGCTAAACAGCTTGAAAAATGTACCTCCCATATTTGATCATCCGAGTACTCTTCAAGAGGGTCTAGATTGCTCCGGACAGTACCCTCAAACATAGTTGGATCTTGAGGGATTATGCTCAATCGTGATCTCAAGTCGTGAAGCCCGATGGACGTGATGTCTACACCATCAATCAGTATTTGCCCGATTGTGGGCTCTACAATACGGAAGAGGGTTTGAATGAGAGTCGACTTGCCACTTCCTGTCCTCCCAACTATTCCGGCCCTCTTCCCTCCATAGAAGGTGCAAGTAAGCCCTCGTAACACAAAAGGCA